CTACAATTAAAAAGCAATGTATGTCTATTAGTAATTAATTAATTATTTGTTTGTTTTATTTTGCTAAATGCTTTTTTTATATTTTAGGTATAACAAAATCTATATCGAAAATAATTACAAATCAACATTCAAAATATCCCAAAGCCCAAGAAATTTATACCAATATTATAAGTAATTGTTTAATATTAAGTGCAATTGCTAATAATTCAAATATAGATAAATAGAAATTTATTCAGAAAAACGTAAAGCAGTACTTAAAAATAAAGAAAGAAGTACTACACTATAACTGATTAGTTATACTTACATTAAAGAATTAGCAAATAAAATCTAATAGCCCAATTTTGTACTTGTAGATCTAGAAGATGTAATAGTTGGTCCAGTAAATCCGCTAGGCTTTTTAATGGAGTATGAAGTATTTGAAAATAAGGTTTTTAAAGAAAATAGGCTAAAAGTTGCAAAGCTATATCATAAGTTTCTACTATTAGAAGCAAACCTTCCAGTAGTTGCTCCTTTTTTTAATTCAAATTTATGTGCACCAAAATCTACTTACTATAAAGAAATTGCTAAGATTTTAGAAACTATAATAATACAAAATTCTAAACAGAATTTTGCTATTCATCAATTAAAGGTGCTCTTAATTTAAAATTATATTTAGAAAGATATAATACACAAGAAACATAATTAGAAATTGAAAGTAGCAATATTCAAAAACAAATAATATTATTAAGAAAAGCACCACACTTACTTTCTGATATTCTTCCTAATGAATAAATTATACAAACATTAGAAACAAAAATAAATACTTTTAATAAACTTATGAATACATGTTATGAATCAATGAGCAGTAATGATATTATCTCTTATATACCAGAGATTTCCTGACAAATATCTTTAAGAATACTGTATAAATTTGATTAAGCTTATACCTATTTAAAAAATTGTATAAAACAATTAGCAACAATACAAAAAGGAACAAAAGCAATATTTCAAGTTAATGCTCTTCTCTTAGGAAAGATTACAATTTATCAACTATTAAATATTGATCAAAAAAATTCTAATTCTTCACAAACTATTAAAAATACAAATAAAAGAAAAAAAACAATAGAATTTGATAAAGTAACAATTTAAATGCCTGGATTTTCTGGTAATATATCAGCTAAAAAGCTTCAAGCATATATAACATCTGGACCATGTTTAGTTGAATTATTAGAAACACTTAATAACAATTAGGTATTATGTGATCTTATAGATAACATTACAATTACATGGTTAGAAAATTTTAATAAAGCCCAATGGGTAAAATTTATTAACCATATTAAAAAGTAATTATTAAAAAATATTTTACTAATATACCTTTTAATCAATAATATGCTTCTTTGAATATGTTTTTTTTATAAATTTTTAAGCAAATATTTTTGTATTGATACTTGTGGCATAAAGCAATTGTAATGATTTGTTGTAAATTTACTTGTTATTATAATTATATATACAATATAGTACATTTTAATGCAGTAATACTGATAGTATACTAATTATATATAATATTTTAATTTTTTTTTTTTTTTTAATATTAAGGTGAGGCCTTGCTCGTATCTTTATTGAGTAATTTATATAAGTAATTACATAG